ATTTAAAAAAAAAAAAAAGGAAAAAAGAGTACTAGCAAAAAGCAAAAACAAAAAAAGGAAAAGGAAAAAGAGTACTAGCAAATTCCAGCATCGAGTTCCTATTCCGACTCTTTCATGGCCACACTGATTACTTGCTCTGTGTGCCCTGTGCTCCGGGAGCAGGTAGTACTGTATCCGGCTCTGCTCCCACGGAACCCGCCCCACAGTGCGGCGACGCCGAGACGTGTGAACTCACAGGCCCAGGTGCTGATCTGAACGGGTTAGTGACGCCATGGGAGCCTCAGTGCCCAAGCACGTCCCACCGCTCCACACTGTGCCCTTCTCCTTAGCTGTCAGCCACGATCAAGACGTGTCACGCTCCTTCAAAGGGGGTAAACAAATAATGTGTGTATGTGCGTGCGTACATGTGCGTGTGCGTGCAAGTAAAACACACAGTCGGATGTGGATGTGGGAAAAGAGTTGAAGATGTGACACAGGCACTGTGAGCCGAACCGAGTGGCAGGTTTCTGAGTGACTGACTCCGTTTTTCTGCTTCTGAATACCCTAGTTTTCCGTGACTCACATGGTCACTCTTACAGTGTCTACAGCCTGCTGAGGAAACAACCCCGTGAGCCTTTCACACCAAAAGCACTGCTCTCAAGCACCGGTGAGGTGAACCTCCAGTGTGACTGGCTGCCACCGCTGGAAGAAACACCGCCAGCGCGAAATGCAGCTGGGGGCCAGAGAGAACCTAGAAACGCGAAGGAAGGAGCTTTCTCCGACGCTGAGCCCAGCTCAAGTCATTCCCAAAACTTATCTGAAGAAATTAAGGTGATTTCTTCTACCTGTACCTCCTCAAACTCTTGACAAAATGGCCCCACGGCCACGTCACTCGCCAGAGTTTCCATAGTGGTTTCAACCAGAAGAGAAAAAACACCAGCTCTTACGTGTGTCGCCGGCAGGACTGGGGGCTGCGCCGCCGAAGAGGACCTCTATGAGCGAGAACGCGGGGCCGGCGTGGTACTTCTTCAGGGCGATCAGGGCTCTGCCCGGGGAGAAAACCCAAGAGAGGGGCTTAGGGAGAACCAGCCGTGAAGTCGGGGAGGAGCCCCGGCCCCCCCCTCCACCTGCAGCCCCCAGCTCCGGAGAGGGCGCACGGACAAGCCCAGCCCAAACCCACTGCTCTCCGCCCAGCCCAAGCGTGGTCGGCTGAGCGAGCCGTGTTTAAGGAAAATGTTACATGTGTGGTCCAGGCACATGCTTACTTCTTCAGGCGCTTGTAAGTGACATCATTGGCAAGTTTTAACAGTCGGTAGGAATTCTGTTGGTCAAAGCTCAACTGGGAATCACAGGACTGGTCAAAGGCCACTGTGACTGATTTCTGGGTGATCCGGGTCAGCACCCCAGTGGCCAGCTGACCTCCTTCATCATTCAGACCCACAATATCACCTGCGAAACAAAGACTCAGTGATGCAAACATAGAGCAAAGTTAAATGTGGATTATTTTATTCCATAAGTCCCAGTATATTTCAAACATCCTATTACTTTCTTCAAAAAATAAACGGTGAACATCTAAATCACACACGTGAGGTCAATGAACTGTTTAAAACAGTCAGGACCGACCGTCGATAAAACACGTCAAGGGCCCGTTCTGCGCCAGGCACTGCTCTGGACAGGAGTCAAGCCCGTCCCTGCGCGCCCTCAGGGGGGAGGGACCAATACAGCCTCTTGTCAGGCCAGTGCCAGGGGCCTAAGGAAACATGACGCTCAGGGAGGGCACAGGGGGGACGAGGGCGGTGTCCTAGAAAGACTGTGAGGTAAGGGCCTCCCTGAGTGGTGAGTGGTGACAGGTGGGGGCCCTGGATGAAGTGGGGCCACGAGCACCTCTGGGGGAGAAGACCATTGAAAGAGGGACAGTGTGTATCTGCTGCCCACTCCGCAGGGATCTCCCCACATCCTGTGAAACCTGTTCGGTGATTCAGCACCTCGGGGATGCAGTGTGACCCGTGTCTGAGCCAATAAGGGCTTCACACGCCCCGGCCATGTGACTGTTCAGGGATGGGCATGGGACCAAATCAGAGCCCGAGACACAGCGAGCCTTTGCTTGGGCACCGGGACAGAGGTCCTCCCTCTCTCCAGCTAGACCAGGACCCTCAGAGGGTGTAGGGCGAGCACGGCTCCCGCGTGGCACCTGAGAAGGAAGCCGACCCAGAAGAGGGCAAAGCCAAGAAATGGAGGGAGGCTCGGCCCAGCGACCTCCTTGGAGCCCTGACGCCCACCCTGCAGGGGTCCTTCAGCACAGGCCTTCTTGCCCAAGCCCGTCTGGCTTGGGTTCTGTCACTTGACCACAGTTCTGACCAAAACAGAATCCACTCTGAGATAAAGCCAAGGCCACCCGCACATTTACACCCTACTTATCCATGTCTGCAAGAGCGTGCCAGGCATGAGCCAGGCCTGTTCTCGGTCCTAGGGGTTCGTCTTGTAAGCGAAGAGTTTCGTCTGCACCTTGAATCTTTTCTCTGCCTCCTTCCCCAACTTTTAAAGAGAAACATCAGGTGGCAACAGTACCCCTGGGGCAGAGGTCAAGTTCTGTACATGGGGCTCGCCACGGGGAGCTCCCCCGGGGACTGCCCCACGAGTGCCCCGAATAGGATCCCATGTTTCCGAATGCACCTCAAAGCTACTGAGCCTCAAAACCGCTCCTCAGAAGAAACAGCTCCACCTGACTCTGTCCATGGCTGCGGCAACACACCAAATTCCCAGCAGGCTACTTTTCAACATAAATGCCACCTCCTCTGGCTTCCTGTGAGTCGAGGAGCCATCGGTCTCCGAGGCCGTAACTCCACAGCGCTCATTAGCTGAACACACATTTTTACCTTTGCGTTTCCAGAGTTTCCAAGCCACCTGCACAGACAGGTCCTGCTCAATTACTCCTGAAAGACATTTAGCAATCCCCTTCGCCCTGGTCATGGCAGCCCATGGCAACTGGCCACATGAAAACAAACGCTGGCCTCAGGGCCTGGCTCTCCCTGTGTTACGCTGGGCAGGTCACTTAACCTCTCCCTCTCAGCCTCCTTAGACAAAACTCCGTTTGAGGCTGGTCACACTCAGTTATGCGCCTGCGTCAGAAATGCACAGACCGGAGGAAAAGCTGTTACTGGGAAGCACTCCTGCAGACGCGCATCTCGGGGGCTCGAAGGTGACCAGCAGCTGTCCGTACAGCCCGGTCCGCTGGCTGGACACCTGCAGCTTCAGCAGACAGACGCCGCGGCGCTGGAGCTCCTTCAGAGAGACGTTTTCCTGCCAGGACCTGGAAGACACAGGATAAACGTTAATCTTTGCACTCACCGGTGTTCATTTCCACCCCTGCAGGAGAAATGGAAAGGCGGGGGGTGGAGGGAGTAGGAATAAAGAGCTGGCACAGGCGCCGAACACGAGCCAGCGCAATTCTGGCCCTGCCCCTTTCAGACCTGCCCCTCCTGGCTCCCCGCGAGCAGTTCATGACGCGGCCTTTCTCCCAGTCACCCGGGTCAGAACCTCCAGCCACCTTCCCCTTCTCTACTCTCTCCCCCATCCTGGTTCAAGTCACTGAGTCCTATGGGGCCCTTCCTGTTTACAGCCTGGACCCACCTCTCCCTCTCCCTCTCCCCTCCAGAGCCCTGACTCAGATTCAAGCCCACATCCCTGGCAGCCTGGATTAAACAGAGCTTCCTGGCCGTAGCCGGTTTGGCTCAGTGGAGAGAGCGTCAGCCCTCGGACTGAAGGGTTCCGGGTTCCATTCGGTCAAGAGCAGGTACCTGGGTTGCAGGCTCCATCCCAGACCCGGTCAAGTGCAAGCAGGAGACAACCAATCAATGTGTCTCTCACATCGATGCTTCTCTGAACCTCCAGCCACCTTCCCCTTCTCTACTCTCTCCCCCATCCTGGTTCAAGTCACTGAGTCCTATGGGGCCCTTCCTGTTTACAGCCTGGACCCACCTCTCCCTCTCCCTCTCCCCTCCAGAGCCCTGACTCAGATTCAAGCCCACATCCCTGGCAGCCTGGATTAAACAGAGCTTCCTGGCCGTAGCCGGTTTGGCTCAGTGGAGAGAGCGTCAGCCCTCGGACTGAAGGGTTCCGGGTTCCATTCGGTCAAGAGCAGGTACCTGGGTTGCAGGCTCCATCCCAGACCCGGTCAAGTGCAAGCAGGAGACAACCAATCAATGTGTCTCTCACATCGATGCTTCTCTCTGTCTCTCCCCCTCCTTCCACTCTCTCTAAAAAAAAACAACAAAACAAAACAAAACAAAAAAGCTCTCAGCACCCAAGTGATCCTCCTAAAATGCAAATCTATTCACCCCGCCTCCTCCACCAACCCGCTTAACTTCAATGGAAGCCATCCTCTGCACCAGAATATCATACAAGCTCCTGGGCAAGGCCCTTCTCAACCTGACACCCATTTACCTTCCCACATGTGCTTACTCTGCACTTGGGACCATGCTGAGCACTTGACTTTTAATAAAATCATTTCATTCTCTCGGCAAACCTGAGAGGTGGGAATGATCCCATTTTACAGATAAGCTAAGGAAGGCTCAGAGATACAACCTGCAAAGCGACACAGCCATACATGAAGGAGCTGGGATTCTCCCAAAGCTCTTAACTGTTACGGTCAAAACCTCTCAAGCAAACCCCATCCAGGTATATACTGCAGCGTGGGGTGTAACCTCTGGGATCAGGTCCTCACTCCGCCTGCGTGACGGTGGACAGGTTCCTTAACCGCTCCCCTCAGCTCCTCCGACATGAGAATAACAGTAACGAGCTTGGTAGACGTGGCCTGAGGGTTGGAGGAGCTGGCGATGGGAGAAGGGGTTTACAGCCTCCATCAGCGCGCGCCTATTCCGCCTATTCCTGTGCAGACTCAGGCCGGCTCTCCCGGTCCGGCTCCCCCTGCGGGTCACCTGCGCCCCCATTTCCCTGACGCTATGCCCAGGCCCCGCCTCCTCCCTGAAGCACCCCTCGCGCCCGGCCCCGGGCCGGGGTTTCTCGCCCAGCTCCGCGCACCGGCGTCCGCATCGGCACTTGTCACGCTGAAAGGGGGCTGCTTAGGCTTCTGCCCACCTCCGGCGCTCACACCCAGGCGCCCAGTGCCAACCGCTCTCCTGATGGGCCGGGCACACACAGGTGCCAACACTGACAGCGCCGACGGATGGGGGAGAGGGCTGGGCAGGCGCTGGGGGTGGAACTGGGCAGAGGCAGGATCTCGGAATGAGCGTTCGGGGAGGGGGACTTCGGACCGAAAAACGAAAGGGTCCATAACCAGAACGGGCCGCCCAGGGAGGCGACGAGGTTTCCACCTCTGGGGGAGACCGGGCCCCGGAGGGTCCGCCTGGGTCTGAGCAGGTCAGGGCTGGGGAGCTGCCGGGCCGGCACCG